TAACTGGCTCGATGAAGGGGAAATGGACCTCATGTTTTACAAGAAACGGACCATATTTCATATTATGGATCGTTGTATTCGCCTGGCAGCAGGCCTAGAGATTTCCGACAGAGAACGTGACGCTATCATCGACGCCTACCACTATTGCTGGATTGCCTATCACGGACCCTTCAAAGTTTTATACTCAGACGGAGAAGGCGCCCTGAATAACGATGCCGCTAAAACCATGATGGCCAATAAGGGCACGGAACTTCGTATCCGTGCACCTGGCCAACACGCGACTTCAATTGAGTCACGAAACGGCATTCTCAGAGGCGTCCTCCACATGATTGAGGAAGAATTGAATAGACACAACATCCCTGTTGTATTCACTAGAGTATTGGCGGAAGGCATCTTCGTTACTAATGCGTTTACGTTTTATAACGGAGTATCGCCATATCAGGCACACACAGGACGTCAGCCCTCCTTCCTTCCTGATCTCGATACCCTTGACTTTCCCAAGGGACCCGAGACTTCAGGACACGAACGAGAACGTCGTGTAAGGGAAGTCAGCCTCGAAGCCATAACTCAGGCTACTGCTGTAGCCAAGACAAATCGGGCTCTTAGGGCTAAGACGACTCCTGATGGTGCTCGCCTCTACTCATCAGGGGATTTGGTCGACTACCACCGACCTACTGCCACCAAGGACGACCATGGAGGCTGGAACGGCCCATTCCCGGTGATCCGAAACGTGCCTGAAAGAGGACATATTGTTGTCAAGGCAGGATCTCGTGAGGTAATTGTGATGTATCCTGATGCTCGTCACGCACTATACGTCGAACGTCTCCTCGCACGGGAACTTGGCATGGACAATATGGCCATGCAAACCGTCCTTGCTTATGTGGCACACCTCAGCGCAGGGAAACCTGCCAAAGTTTTCGGGTACATCCCCGATTACAAGGGAAACCTTAATCTGTCAGACGACAGCAAGTTTCACCCGCGCGTACACTTAGCACTACAGTATCTCGTACGGAATTACTTCCGAGTAGAACATGTAGTAGCAGTTCGATTGGCTAAGAGTGTGTCAAGCCTACCTGCAGTAAAGTACGCCACCGGGTCTACGCTGATCCACTATGACAACGACATCAGCCCGGCGTTTCACTATTACGAATGCGTGGGCACTGGCTTGAACATTTCTCAGATCACTGGTAGCACTCACTCCAGACTTATTCAATGCTTGACTTCACGTGTCCCTTCCTTAGGATTTCACGACGATTTGGCTAAATATCAGCATCCAAGCAACACGTCTGGAGAACACGAGTCGCCTGGAAACAGGCCTTCTCCAGACACACCAGACGCTTCATCGCCGAGCGAAGGCCGTCTGTCGACAATCTATGAGGAAAATGAGGAACACAATATTGAAGCTATGATGCTGGAAGAGTGGTACGACGAGCTACGTATGGACCTTCATCCTACGACGATTACCGATGATTATCTTTATTGCGTCCCAACAACTATGCTGCCCGACCAGTGTGTTTTGGTTTCAGCATTTGTGGACGAAGATGATATTATATCATCAGATATGCTCGGAGACGAGCCGAAATCATGTGAGTCCTGTCTAGTCTCTCTTTGTTCAAACACAGCCGACGAGAGCTACTCTCTAGACAGTGATGAATACGGTCCTTACGTTGAACTATGCTTTACATCAGAAATGTCTAAAATAGTGTTGGATCAGACTCAACTTGCACAGCTCGATACCGATATGGTCGCAACGATGAGAGTATATGTATCCTCTGCTGCTAAACGTGCTGTGGTTGTCAAAGAAGATGATCTACTAACCAAAGCCGACATAGCAGCACATCCAAAGGAGGTTAGTGAAGCCTTATATACTGAGCTCAAAATCTGGATTGATAATCGATGCTTTGAGATGTACGATTTATCCAAAGCTTCCAACATCATGACATCCAGATATGTATACAAGTGGAAGTTCGTAAAGATGGGTACCGAGAACGTTAAAACCATTCGTCTCAGACTGGTCCTTCGTGGATTTATGGATACTGAGGCTTTTGATGTGGAAACATTCTCGGGAACCGCCCGAAGGCAGTCCCAACGACTCCTGGCAAGTGAAGCGGCATGCCATCCAGAATGGGTCTTAGCATCCATGGATATCGATAAGGCGTTCCTCAAGGGTTTGACCTATGAGGAACTTGCCCATGCCACCGGCGAGGAAACTCGCATGGTTTGCTTTACTCTTCCACCAGGAAGCCCTCAGGTACTTCGTACATTACCTGGCTTCTCATCCTACGACGAAAGTCGACACTGTCTTAGATGCCTCAAACCAGGAACGGGTACTAAGGATGCTCCAAGAGCGTTCTCTGTCAAACTTCGTGCGACCACACGAGCTATAGGACTTACACCGACCAGCTATGATCCTGAAATTGAATTCAGCCAAGACCTTCTGACGGCAAAACATGTCGATGATATTAACATGACAGGTCTAGAGAAAAATATAGACGACTATGTACAACGTGTCGAAAAGGTGTTTGGCAAATGCAAGCTCAACAAGCACGCATATACGAACTGCGCCGTTCGCTACACTAAGAATGATCAGGGAGATGTGATCATGGACCAGGACGAGTACATTAAACAACTACGTCCTATCACACACCCAGAACTTACAGGAGCGGCGGCCGACGCCAAAGCCACGAAACTCATTACCGACATGTTCGTCAGCCTGCGAGGAGCCCTCGCCTATGCCCTTCTTACCCAAATCTGGCTCATGGTATATGTGGTCTCTCTTCAGAAAATTCAAGAGCCCACCAATTTGCAAGTCAGACGTTTGAATGCTGTGACGCGAAAGCTGATCAGCAGTCCGAAACGTATCACCTTCCCTCGGATGAAGCCGACGAATGAAGTTGACATCCATAGCGATTCGGGGTATCGGAAGCTTACCGGGGAGGAGGATGACGAGACCAAGGGCTACGGCATACGCGGGGCCAACGTACTACGGCGAGGAAACTCGCCTCAAGGCAAGTCCGTCGTTCACCTCTGTGACGGACTATGCAAATCACACCGATTACAGTTGAGGTCCAGTTATGCTGCGGAGGCACTTGCAGCCGCACATAACCTTGACGAGTGTTACCCTACGCTCATTACTCTCCACGAGCTTAAGGCAGGGGCTTTGACTCCACGACAACTACGAGACATGCGTGAAGTTGGAGGCCTTGCTATCAAAGTCTCTCTTACCATAGACGCTGAGTCCGTCTACAAATCTTTATCAAGCAGGGATCTCAAAATACCTACAGAACGGACTCTGCTTGGACATATCAGCTGGATACGTGAGCTCATGGATATAGGTATAGTACATAATGTGCAATGGTGTGATACTAGGGATATGACCGCAGATGGGCATACAAAGGGAAGCATCGATCGGGGGCTGCTTCTGGAAGTGATGTCAGGCACTCAGTCATTTAAGTATGACGTGAAGCAATTTGTTCCCTTTCGGGGTCCCGAGGACAGAGACAAACCTAAGTCTAATCAATTTTAGTCTGTCCTTGTTGCCCTCGTGGTCCAGTTTGCCAGCACGGGCGCCTACTATGAAGGCGCCCCTTTAGCTGCTCGGAAACGAGCCTTATGTTTCACGCCTGGCAACGAGCCGGCTTCGTACAACTCAGGCTCTTTGCCTTAATGCACATTTGCTTGGTGAGGTATGGCCTAATTTTGGCTTACCTCTAACTGAGCCGATAGCCCTCCATTGTTTGAAGGGGCTGTCCTGCATTTGCGTGAAATACTTTGCGAGGCAACTCGCCTTACAGTCTGGTGTTTGACCAGACTGTACGCACTGTTTTCTTTTCTTTGCAAACCGTCGTGCGCGCGATCTTTGCGTGCGACTATGCTCTCCGTCTCCTCCCCTCCCGACTTTAAGGGTAGCTCTTTGGGAGATGTTACAGTATCGGGAGCATAGCTCGCGCGCCGCTGCCTTGGGCTCAAGGCACGCGCGCCCTATTTGCCCGGACACCGCGAGTGTTCGCTATGTGCTGGAAAGATCACTACATCGATCTTATCCTATCTTACCCATCCACCCCTCATACTGTACCTTCACAGCAGAGCGATGGATGCAATTTGCCAGGCTATATGCCCTATTTGAGTTACCAGGCTCACTTTCGACTTAGCCATCTTGGCGCTATCTTGGGCTCTCTCGGGGCCTTCTTGGCCGTCTTGGACCTTGGAAGTGTCTTGGGACCATCCTGGAGGCCATCCTGGCAGTCTTGGGAGCGCTTGGACCAATGCTGGCCGGCGGGTTGGGCCGAAGCTTCAGTGGGAGTTCCTCAGAAAAGGGGCAAAGTTTGGCCATGGTGTTGAACTACTTATGCTTTGAAGTTTTACCCGAAGCTGCTGAGACGCCCTTCGAGGAATCGTGTTCCGTTCTGTTTCGCTTCGGGAGCGCCACCTCGAGGGTAGTTCGGAGCTATCCGGGGTCCCCTGGGACTCTCTGGGGTGACTTCGGGCAGTCTGAAGGCATCCCCCTGTCAAATTAGGCCGACTTAGGGGCATCTTGGACGAAATCCGCGGGCCTTTTGCAATCTCGTTTTCCGTTTGCCAAACGTGCGGCTCAAGTATGAAGATATGTTGGGATCGCGTGTTGCTCCAAGAGCTCTACGGAGTTGGTCGGGAAATTCATTGCAAACAATTCGTTCTACAGTTTTGCATGGGATTGTGTGCCTCGAAGGTTCTCATACAGTGGGGTCCCATGCCAAGAAACACCCTGCTTGCTTCCAGGGTGCCCTGGGTTTCTTGGGTTTCGATGGTTTTGGCATGGGAAGCGCGACGTTCCCAGACCAGAATTCAATGGGCATCCTAGGGTCTTAGTGTTGGGTTGTCTTGTGTCCGTAGCCATTTTGGCTCAAACCATTTTGGCTCAAGACATTGCTCAACACTTCCAGGAGTTCTGATATATCTCACACTACTTGGCTCATTGACTTACGTATTTCATTTGACCTGTTTCCTCAGGTCGCATCGCCATGGCAGCTGTAGTCAGATATGCGTTTGCGGCCGCTTGCGTGTGCAATGTGGTTGAAGCAGTTTCCGTACAGCACGCCAAATGGTTGTGGTCGGACCATCCGACGAATGACGCCATCGCAGAACAGCATTTCAACGAATTCCTGAATACACATCAAGATGGTGAGGAATACACCGAGTCTGGAGTCGCTGGGACAATGCTATCGCCCATGGGGCCTTACGGCCCGGTCCTCGTCGTCTACCTGACGTATGGCAGCAGTAGACCTTATAAGACGTTTTCAGAGGTGCAGGGGATGTTCTGGGACGTTCCAGGCGTCAGCCACGCTCTATACCACAATTCATGGCACCAGGTGTGGCTTCAGTCCTCCGATGTGGACTTCCTCCAGATGGAGTCGCCTCAGGATCCTGCGACCTGGGGGTACCGCTTGTCTTATCTTACAATGGCTGTGTACTATTCAGCAGCGTATCAAGCGAAAGTCAAGACAAGAGCTTACAAAAACACGTTGGTGTTTGCTCCTGGGGATCTCTTCATGGCCACTGCGTATGCTCCGACCAGCGGCTGGTGGAACGGGTTTGCCCAATTCTATCACCAAGCTCAGACTTGGCAGACGATATTTCACGAGATAGGGCACACATGGGGTTTGCATCATGCAGGGGGCTACTTGGCTACCGGAGAGTCGAATTCCTACCTGGACGATGCGATCATGGGCTATCAGCGAGAATGGCGGGCCGCGGACACTAACGTGGTCGCTCGCTACAGGCTCGGGTGGCTCACAGGGGCCGAGACGGTGGAGTTCATTCGGGGGTCTGACGCCACGGCTGTCAACCTGTCTCCCCTCAATGAGGGGCCCGATGGACCAGAGTTCTTGCTCATGAAACTCCCGTGCGATGAGTGCATAGGGGAGAAGGCATCTACCGCAGGTGTGGGCGCTCTCTACCTCTCCTTCCGTGTGGAGGACGGGCCAAGCCTGTACGGGGTTGGGGGTGAGTCCGATCCGATTTTTCTTTACGATATGGTCACTCGCAGGCGTCTCGTCCTGGCGGACCGCGTCCATGTGCACTTCCAGGCCGACGTGAATCAGATAACTGAATTGTGGACTACGTTGGCCGCGGGGGATGCTTTCGCCGTTCCCGGATCTACCATGTGGATTCATGTTTGCAGCATCGATACCGCGACCTATGCCAGGGTAAGTGTTTCAGATACGAGCGAATCTTCTGCGCGAGCAGGATGCATGGTACCGGTGGCAACACAAACATTGACGCCAGCGCCGACACAAGCGTCGACGCCAGCACCGACGCCAGCACCGACGCCAGCACCAACGCCAGCACCGACACCAGCACCCACGCCAGCACCCACGCGAGCACCAACGCCTTCACCGACGCTAGTTCTGACGCTAGTACCGACGCCATCACCGACGCCAGCGCAGACGCCAGCGCCGACGCCGACACCGACGCTAGCACCGACGCCCGCGCCGACACCCGTACCGACGCAAGCGCCGTCGCCAGCACCGGCGCCAGCATCTATGTCTGCACCGACGCCATCACCGACATCAGCACTGGCCCCAGTGCCGATGGCGTCTCCCGCGGGGACACTATCGACAGGCTTGGTCTCTGGCATGGGCGACCCCCACCTCACCAACATGTACGGCGAGCGTTTTGACTTATACATGACGGGCAGAAACATCCTTTTGCAGATCCCGCGATGGAGCAGCAGCAGCAGCGCGTTGCTGCGTTTGGAGGCCGACGCCACGCGCATGGGCGACCAGTGCGCTGACGTGTACTTCCAGATGGTGGCAATATCTGGGACATGGACGAATAAGACAGGCGAAATGCGGTTCTTCGCGAACGGTGACACTCTTGGCTTGCCTAGCAGCATGAACTGGATGCGTTTTGGCAAGATCGACTTAAAGGTTGTGCATGGTAAAACTCGGCAGGGCACAGACTACCTAAACGTCTTTGCCAAACACCTAGCCCGCGCTGGTTTTCCAGTTGGTGGCCTCCTCGGGATTGACGACCACACTGCGGCCAGTGCACAGCCTTCCGAGTGCACCCGTTCATTTTCGTTGTAGCGCGACAGCGCGGTCCGGCGCACGCGCGCGTGGAGCCTACAGTGTGTGACAAGCGTTGGGGCAATGGTCCTCGACAGGCAGAGCCGACGGGCAGCATCCCGCACTGGCCCACAGTTCGCCGCAGGCGTTGCAGGGCTCTCGAGGGTGTCTGCAGTGCCCACTCGCTTTTGTTTGCTGCCAGTGGTCGCTTCGCTCCGTGCTCGCCTTGGCGCGAGCTTCCGCCTTCTTGCAAGGCACTTTTGGGTTCGCCCTGGGCTCCGCACGGGGCAAACGCCCTGTCCTAGCCACCTATCGTGGCGCCCCGGCGAGGGGAGCCCGTCGGCGCTCGTGGGACGGCTCCCTCTCACGAGCTCAGTCGGTCTCAATCGCGCGCCCCACCCCTTTTACGAGCTCAATCGCTCGTGGGACGGTTCCCTTTTACGATTCTCAGCATGGTTTTGCCAAGCTCTTTGGGCGCCTCTCGGGCATCCTCCCTCAGGCTGCCCCGAGTCCTCCTCGTGGCAGCCTTGCGCGCCTTCCTGGCCCCCTCCCAGGCGCTGGTAACAGAAAAAACAGCCTGGCAAGAAGGATGTGCCTCGATGCAGCATGGTCGCTTCTGGTGGCGTCCCCTCGGCAGCCTCACACCTCTCTTCATCGTTCAGCGCCTAAAAAACGTCATGTCAACGACCTCGGCGCCGAGGGGATAGGGGCGACGGCATCTTGCCTTCTTTCCTCTCGCAGTGCGTAGATTTTACACTTCTGTACCTGGGGGAGTTGTACATGTTTGTTATAGTTGAATATGTTTGGGTGGGACCGCAGCCATGGGCTGTGACGGCATCCTGCATCTCTTTCGTCTCGCAGTTTGCTTGCGTTGGCTGGCACCGCATACCTCGACTGTGACAGTCGCATGCGCCTCTTTCCTCTCGCAGAGGCGCGGTGGGACCGCGGCCATGAAGTTGCAACGGCACCCGGGTCAATCATGTCACACTTACTGTACCGTGCCTGGGGCTGTTGTACATACTCCTCTTCTTATAGGTGAACTTGTTGGGTGGGACCGCAGCCGTGGGCTGTGAAGTCATCCTGCGTTTCTTTGGTCTCGCATTGTGATTGGGCTGGGTGGCACTGCAGCCCTGGGCTGTGACAGTCCCCTGCGTCTTTTTCCCCTTGCAGAGTGCTTGGGCGCGGTGGGGCCGTGGCCACTGAGTTGCGACGGCATCCTGTCCAATAAAAAAGTGTTGGGTTTCTTGCGGAAGGTTTCCTGTGGACTGGTCTCCGCCGCATGGCGTCGGGAGGTCGTTGGCGGTCCGGTCGTCGCAAGCTCGTGGTCGCGGCGCGCCGTGGACGGGGCCGCGAGCTGGGGAAGCCCAGCGGCTCCCCTGCCGGGCGAGCGCCTGCCGCCCCAGCATCTCCAGAGAAGCGGGGCGTGGGCACGCAGCTCCGGGGCGGGGAAGCACATCAAAACGATCGACAGTCTGTGCCTGGGTTTGAGTCGGGCCTGTCCCTCCATACAGGGGAGTTGCTCACAGGCAGGCCACAAACAGTCGGGGGGCGAGTTTTTCAACACACAGGTGCTTGCTGCTCTGTTGAGTACGTTGGGCTATGTTTGATTTGACGTCCAAAATCCGCCTGTAGGGGGACATGCCCGACCTAAGTCTAGGTACATTAACAATGCGTGGCAGCCTGTCACCTATGCGCGCTGGACAAGGCTACTCTTGTTTCTGGCGTGGAGAACACATACAGTTCCGCTGTTGCAGCAGAAGCGGGGCGGAGTTTGGAGCCGCCAGCTGACGAGCGTCATTCAATTCCTGAGCGATAGCAGGCTTTACCCGGGAGGGGGGATGGGGGGGCCAGGGCTGACAACGGCCGCTACTGCGAAAAATGAAAAACATATCTGCTGGGGGTCTGAGGTGGCCCATCACTGGTTCCAGCGAGTCTGGGAGCCGTTTTCAGGCCCCACGGAGTGTCAAAAACGGATACCGGGTGAAAGACTACACCAGATGGACTCCCGGATGGGCCTGGGGAACGACTTTGAGCGGATTTGTTTTTACCCCCCCTTCTTGACCCCTGGGCTGCCTCCAAGACGGAGTCCTGATGTCGCTGGGCTCGGATGCCGCCCGATGTTCAGCCGCGCGACGCGGTTTTGCTGCCTTTGATCGCCTGGCGCCGACTGCCCCGCACTCTTCGGTCGGTGGCGTGCAGTCAGAGCCGGCGTTAAGGACAGGTCATCATCGCCAGGGCGCATTGCATCCTTCGGTCGGTGCCATCCTTACCACGCGCGCATCCTTGGTGTTCACGCAATTGCAAGGGTCTTCCATCCTCGCATTCCCGTCCTTGTCGCCGATTTCGGTTGCAGTCCCATCGCCGCGTTGGGCGGGCAGCTCGCTGCCGAGTGGGTCACCGGTGTCGGGGCTGGGCTCGGCTTTCTCGTTGGCGTGGGTTTTTCTTCGGGTTGACTTGCAGTTGGGGCCAGCGATGTCCAGGATGCAGACGAGAAGGCTGCGGAGCGTCGGGTGGGCGAGCTCGTGGAAGATCTCAATGCCGCCGTGGAGGCGGAGGGCGGCGTGCGCCGGCAGGGGCGGACCGAGGGGCGTTGCAAGAGAAAATCGGCGCAAAAGTTTGTTTTGCTCGGATTTTTTGTCCAGGGCGATCCAGGGTGAGGACGATGATGGCAATGATGATCAATGATGATTGTAGTGGCGAGAAGGAGAAGGAGGATGAGGAGGAGGACTTGGAGTGATATGGCTTAAGGGGCGCCTCGACCTCATGTGATATGGCCTGCGGCCAACTCCACCCCAGGGTTGACAGGGGGACCTGCGCCACAGCAGGCCACCCTAGGGGTGACAGGAAGAATTTGACCTCCCCACAGCCCAACATGTTCTCGTTAGATTGAGGGAAGACGCGTGTCAGACCTAAGTGTCCAAAGTAATTTGCTGTGTTACATCGCACGGCCCTCGCTCTCCATGCGCGCGATCCTTTCAGCCAAAACTGGTTTAACAGTCTTAACGCCGGTTTGGGCGCGAACTGCTTTGACAGTTTTAACGCCTGCTGCGCCGCACTGTCCCCGTGACATTTGCAGCGCCTCACGTGGCGTGGGGGGGTAGCGGATGGAACGGTACGCCTCAGATTTGGGTAGTTGCAAGTTCCCGTGCGGACGATTTGTGGCCGTTGGAGTGAGCAAAAAGTGCGTCCTTAGTCTGGGGCGTGGTGCGGCATGGATTCACGGATACGCCGGTCCACCCAAAAGTAAGTTCAAGGTGGCCGTAACAAAGTGTTGTTTTGGTATGTGGTGTTGCGTTTGTCCCGGTTGCGTGGCCGATAATTTGGGGTGAGGTGTCGAAAGTTACAATCCAAGCAGCAGGACCGTGAGACACGATAACTTGCACCACGTATGGTGTTGTTGATGTGTACCTTGAGTTTACCCTTGAGTTCATCTGGACCTACGGACTGGATCAAGACATGAAATTTGTCACGCACGTTGTGCCAACGATGGACGCGTGACGATGGGAGCGACAGGCGCGCTTGTTCCCTTGAAAGCGGCCAGAGACTCAGAGGAGGGAAGAGACAGGGAGGTACTCGCCCAGGCACACCGCAGGGCCAACCTTTGAGTTCGGCTGTTGCCCACGAATAAAAAGGTCCCACGAGTACCGCGCTCCATGGGACGTGAATTACCTGAGGCAATCCTTGCCGAGCCTCCTGAGTGCGCCTGTTCCCGAATGTGCTCCACAACGGCTGCATATAACAAGTATCCCCACCGAGTTGGAGAGATGTGCAGCGTGTATTTCCGAGGGTTCGCTACCAGGTTGCTGAAGGGGGCGCTGTACCCCTGGCAAGGGGATATCGTCGGCGACAGCTTGCGCTCCGCTTTTGCAGATCGGAGACAGCGTTGACATGCCCAGCGCGAACGTGTCCATGCCCAATCATGGCCCTCCACAGTTGCCGCGACGTCCGCTGCTGCTTCGGCCTGCGGGGGCGGTGGAGGAGGGGGAGGAGGTACGGCGGGTAACAGCAGGATTTCCCGCGCGGCGCCAGTGCCAGTGACGAAGCCTGGCGGACGCAGATTGTCATCGCCTCGAGGCGTGTCAATCTTAAAGATAGGGATAAGTTCGAGGTTGGTAAGACCTCCGAGCCCGACGGCCGCGCTGAGGTGAGGTCCTCTTTCTTGGCGCAGCGGTCTGCAAAGTGGTTGCCGGCCGCTTGCCAGCACTGGAAGGACAAATGTGGAACGTCGTCAGGGCCCACATGCCAGGAGGGAACAACAACACACAGACCCAATTCATCGCCGATTCCTCTCAGAAATATTGGAAACTATGGGAAGTGGGGGGAAGACAAAAACCCAGAACATATTGGAAAATATATTGAATCCTCTTATTTGTGTTTATGTATTGAATCGCTTCGCTCATTCCGCCGGCTTGCACAGCCTCATCTTTGCCGTTTGCCCGAGGGCTCGTTGTCAATGCGGCGTTGTTGGGGTCTCTTGGCAGGCGTCTCGGGAGCCTTCTGGAGGCAATTTTGAAGCCTCTTGTGGGTCGTTTCCGAGCCCGTGGGGCTTCGTTTTGGGCCTCTTGGGGGTTTCTTGTGGCCTGCTGGCGGTCTCGGAGGTGCTCCGTAGGGTGGAAAGATTGAAATGTCATTTCGAGTTCCCCCTCTTGGGCCCCTCTTGAGGCCGTCTTGGGCTTTTGGGCGCCTCGTGGGCCGTCTTGGGGCCCTCTTGGGCCGTCTTGGGGCCCTCTTGGGACCTCTTGGGCCTACCTTGGGGGCTTCGTGGGCCGTCTTGGGGCGATTTGGGGGGCCTCTTGGGCCAACTTGGACGCTGTGAACCCCCAGACGTCGTATGTGCGAAAGATGCACGTTTTCTCAAGGGAGTGGGATGGTTTTTGCTTGTTGGGGCCCTCTTGGAGAGCCTCTTGTGGCTCTCTTGGGGCTTCTTGGCGGCCTCGAGGGCCGTCTGAAGGCCATCTTGGGCGTCTTGTTAGGTGACTCGGAGCGCTCTCGGACTGTCTTGGAGGCCTCTTGGGGCACTGTTGGCGCGCTCTGGGGGCCCTGAGAGACCGCGCCCAGGAGGAAAGCCATCTCTGAGTAAAGGGTGGCCGGGCTGCGTCCGGTCGGCGGTCGGGGTACTTTTCGCCGCGGGGCCCCCATGGGCCGCCCCGCGCGCGCGAACTAGAAATATTGATAACCAGTTACCGGAGATCTTAGCACGCCTCTGGCCCGTTGGGCCGGCGAATTTGTGTGTCCCAGGGCCCCTTCAACATGGGCCAGAACCTTCAGAATCTGGAAATCGTGGGTCCGCGGGCGAGCCTCGAAAATCTGCACGTGAAGCCCGAGCGTAGAGACGTGTTGCCTCGCCGTAGCTTGGGCCCACGGCGCGTCTGCCACCTTTACGAGGCCAGGGAAACAGATGAAAGCCACACGCGGGCGACGCTGCATCACTGCCAGAAAGGCGATCTGTTCAGC